ATGATGAACTATTATTGTGGCCAATTATGAATGATTAACCTACTGATTGGTATGATTATTGATTAAATCATGATTAAAAATGGATATAATGATGATTATGAAAATGATGTATATTGTTAAGGATATCTAGAAGAACTCTAAGATATACCCACTTGTATAATGAGGATGATTATTAAGGATATCTAGAAGAACTCTAAGATATACCTCCTTGACCAATTCATATTTCGGGGTTAAAACGTACGTACAGGATCCAGAACGGATATCACCCACCCGACAATTCACTGTTCGGTTGGTACGTAATCCACATGACTCATAGGGTGGATTATCGATTCTTGTGTTCTGCATTAAACTATTTATAGTTTAAGGGCCTGGTTAGAAATGTTGCCTTAGACTAGGAATAGTTAAGAGTTGTTATGAAATGATTTGGCCTTAGATTAAGAATAATTTAAGAGCATTGTTGAGATATTGAATATCAAATGACTTGGAATAAAATATTGAGAATATCATGAATGTTTGAATTATATACTGTGTGCATGATATCAAATGGTTGATTATGAATCGAGATTCAATTTATGTGGATGTTCGACGCATTAGATATGCTTACTCAGCTTTACCGCTGAGCGTGTAGTGTGTTTTATTTGCTACACGCAGGTAAACAGAAAGATTAATGTGATCCTGGCGGCAGATGGGGCGAGATTGTCGGGATGGATGTGACAAGTTTGAAATGATTTATGATATGTCAAAATTAAATTCACTTCCGCAATATTGTTGAATACTCCGTACTGTATGTGTTATGAAAAATATTATTGTGATAAATAAAAGTGTTTGAAAAGTTTTAAATTTTTACGATTACCAAGTTAAATACTTTAGTCTCAAAGGGGCTGCAGACCTGGACGGATTAGGGTGTTACATCTAAAACCTAGCTGCCAAAACCAAAACAAAAAACATGCACCTCAAAACCAGATGCTGAAAACCAAACACAAAAGTACTTGGCCAGTATTAAGCCACCTTAAAACCAGAATTAAGCCAGTACAGAAGCTAGTAATTTCATAAATACGAAGTATTTAGGTTGCTCAAACAAATACAAAAAAACATTCAGGAATGGCCACAAATGCTGCCACAGAATCAAACTTCAAACCCAATTGATGAACAAATTGCACCAAACTTTATAAAAAGAATAGATTCAAACAAAAGCAAAGTCAAATATTATGGATCATCGAATCAGAAAGGCAATTAGATGCTCAAACCCTCATGAGGAAATTAACGAAAATCATCTGCTGGGGAAAAAATTAAACATTATAACTTGATTTAGAAAAGAAAATTACCTGGAATTGAGTAAGCGAAATACAGGGAAACGAGTGGCGGACGAAGCTCTTGTTCCTCTCGTCGATGCAATAGCAAGAATAATCTTGCTAAAAGAGAAACAGAAATGGTGACAGAACCTGCTGAAGAAGAAGGTGGAAAGAAGATATTTTGGAGAGGGGGAGAGAATGAGAGAGGAAGAGGGAGAGAGAAAATTGATCTTTATTCATGATGTGTGATGAAAGTACAAGGCCACCTATTTATACAAGTGAATGATCAGCTAACAGACCCAACACACTTCTAACCAACTAACTACCACTAACAACCACTGCCACATCAGCTTGGCTATAACA